CCCCCCCCCCCCCCCCCCCCCCCTCCTGCCTAAAAGTAGTTGAAGCGAGTAGTGAGACAACATAAGGTGAGCTAATCAGACATTTTTAGTTTTGAGCAAGTTCAGGTTTTTATCGAATCTGACTTGGCAGGACTAGTGGTACTCACTCTCACTAATTACTCTTTAACTCTTGAAATCCAACCAAGTTTCAAAGGAAAAATCCATCTAGAAAGTTCATATAAAGGACATCAATCTATTCCCTAATTTGATTGCTTGTCAAATGCACTTTTCCCCTCCAACATGTGAATATTTTTCATAAAATGCTTGTTCAGGGCCGTGGCCAGTAAAATGCGGAAAACACTCATTCAAAGAACAGATACAAGATATAATAAAAACCCACCGCCATCTTCTCGAAGATATCAGCTTTGTCGATGTCACTGATACTATCTTCGTCTAGTAATTTATCATAAATCTGGTTAATTAGTGAAGGTCCAGCATACCCTGCACGATAGACATTGTCAAGCGCGAGTAATAGCCTGTCACTATCTGACGAACGACAGGCATTTAGCAGATGGTGAGCCTTAAATATAGTATAAGTAAATCTACTCGATATCAGCTTCCCAAAGATTTCTGCACCCTGCGTATACCTCAGGATGGCATTCAGAAATCTAGCGAGAACGTAAAATCCCTTACGTTTTCCTCGGCAACATATCCAGTCATATTTAACACGTAGTCATTTGTTATGTTATCCCGACACGACACCGACTGCAGGTACGTTATTGATCTTCGTAGATCTCCTTCACATAAAGTAATAAGCGTCTCAAGAGTGGTATTGTCAATCTTGACACCCTCCTTATCGCAAATTTCACGCATTCTGAATAGTAAAAAGCAGTCAATAAAGGGACTCGGACTAAACTGCAAGCTGCAAGGTAAAAAACAACAAAAATAAGTCTATAGCACTAGGTTGTAAATTGGCTGTCTATTTTGGAATAATATAATTACCCTTTCAAAGGAAAAGAGATACTTCCCAATATACATTGGCTTAAAGAAACACAAATGTTCGAAGAAAGATACGAGTGGCCAATTCAATAGCATAAAATACCATTTCTAGCATTAAAATTTCTCATAACAATCAGATCTTAGAAGCGTTTTACTAACAGCTTACACTTGTTCTGAATGGTATCTTCTCCTATTTTGCTGAATCATCAAAGTTTCTTTATCTTGAAGGTTACCTTAAGGTCTATACTCAAGTGAAAGCGATTTTTGTTGCTCCCTCCTATAAGATGTTTAGAGACTNTGAAATGGTTTATTATTATTGAAGAACTGAAGACATAATTTTCAAAACAAAGGGAATGCATTCAAGCGGTAACGATCAACCCTCATACAAAAAATGCCCGAGATTCGGGATGAATGCATACCTCTTTAGCTGCGATTCCGTTGGAAGCGGTTTGAAGCGAAATTTCGCACATCGTGACGTGAGAGGATCAATAATTCGAGAAATATAATTACATATCAGAAAGAACCTGAAGGACACGTGTCGCTTTGGTGACTCGAACCACTATAAGTGATTGAAAATGAAAAAGTACCTCGTTGTTTTGCAATACTTCTCCATTATTCTTCGCATTGCTGCTTGTGCAGAGCCAGTCATAGCATCAGCTTCATCCAAGATCACAATTTTCAGTGGTACACCTGCCTTCGATACAGCACGATGTGCAAACTCTTTGATCTAAAATAGGATCACATAAACCGATGAGACAATATAAGACAATGGGTTTCCTTAAACAAAAAAGTGCGAGAGAAGGTAACGAAAAAGAAAAAAGGGATCTAAAAGCTACATACCCTTGTACGAACTACTTGTATGCCTCTTTCATCAGAAGCATTCAGTTCGAGGACACGATCTCGAAACAAATCTGAGTTCGGGAAAAGCTGTCGACAAAAAGCAATGGCTGCAGAGGTTTTTCCAGTGCCAGGAGGACCATACAACAATATATTCGGCATCTGTTGGAAGTCATTGTTATATGTAGCACTGTATTCCAAAGATTTATCTGTTAACTCACATCAGATCCTTCTAAAACCTTCTTGAGGACGGAGACAACTTCTTTCTGGTAGACAATCTCATTGACATTCTTTGGACGGCTGGAAAGATGTGTTTTGCACAGGCTTCTTTTAAGGCAATCATCAAAACCTGACTTACTATTTTTCAACCCAAGGAACTCGTGATTGAACATCAGTAACTGGCTCCTTGGTTTTTGCAGAAAAGAAGTTATTCATCTGCAAAAGTTTGTCAACTGAACCTGGTGAATGCTAGTAAATGCTCACGAAGAAGTAACATCTACGGGCTCCTGCCGTCGAAAATCACTAAAAAATTTCAAAAAATTATAGTACTGGGATGCTTTCATGTCAGGTCAGGCTGGCTCCCGATGATGCACTCAAATTTCCGCGCGCGGGAAAATAACACAATTCAAACAGCGAAACTTCGAGTTCGGCCACTATGAAGTGCAGCAACCAAGATTCTGTAGAGTACAGGCACTCGGCCACCCCTGACGACTCGAACACCGGCCCTGAGCCAAGAGTCTCATGTTGATGCGGTGTGATGTAACAGATTGATAATTGTGTTTTAAAATGGAATTGTGCCGTGAAAGGGAATATGTTGTCTGAGAAATCCTGCGTCTAACGCATTTTATTTCATTGTAAGGTTACTGTAGGAAGTGGGTGCCTTCGTTCCGGTACATAGAATAAGATGAGTGTATTAATTCCTTTTCATTTTTTTGTTTGAAGGGTAATTAACGCCAACACCCCTACCTCATTTCTCCCTGTCTGAGCCTATGATGTTCGGTACAAGCCGAACCCGGGGAAGATGCATAGGAAGTGGTTCGAGAGCTCAATTCATCTCACTTCTGAGTGGAATGGGTTGAGACTCTTGCTACTTCGCTCTTCTCTAGAAAAATGCCTCTGGGCAAACTGCGAAGGTCGCGGGAAGGTACGGATCGACGACGAACAGTATGGACGAACTAGGCGCTGTTCATAGTATTTCCTTTTATCGGGCTGTGTTCACACTAGTTTACGAATTACTGTTCGTGAATGTTGTCAGCTAAAAGGCAAGATTATACACATTTAGCAGATTTTTGAATAGATCCTACTCAGAAGCTCTACTCAGAAGAGTAGTACTATTGTAAACATCTTCAAATTCTGTAATCATAAAACCTTTTAAGGCGACCGCAAGTGACGACCAAAGACCTCGGCTAGCTTCACCACCTACACACTGACTTCGAGGTCAACTCCAAAATACTTGAAGAAACGTCAGTTCACACCACCATTCAACGAATCTAATTCAAAAAACTGTTTTACATTTGCATTTTGTTTTGTTAAAAAAGATTCCGAATACGAGTTAATTGAGCTGGGAGTCCGAGTCTTCACAGAAGCTAATTTGAAACCCTAGAAGATGAAGTAGTAGTCGTTGAACAATCTCGTTTTTGGAATGCGCCGAAAGCATACAACTTTAATTCGGATCGTAATGGTGTATTGCATATAAACAGGGCCTATACAATGGCATGCCCTCGCCAGCCGATACTATAAAGTCACTGAAAAACGTTGATACTAATAGGCAGCACAATAACTCCGCTTACTTGTTAATAGTTTCGAATGGTACAGGTGAGTTAGTGAAACTATATACACTTTTAGGAACAAGCAATGTTTCCAAGCGCTCACAAGAATCATCGAATCAAAATACTATTTAGGACTAAGCTTCTTCCTGCCGATTTTAGACTAGAAACCGACCAAAATCACTAAGTTCTGCCTCCACCTTTATTGAACGAACAAATTCAAAACAGAAACATTCAAAACAGAACAGAAAGAAAGAGTTTTTTCACCACGATATGACATATCTTCCAAACCCCTGAATTCCTACCAAACTATAAAATGGAACTTCGGATGTGCTCAGCACAGAAGACTACTTTTGTGAAAAACAATATAAGGCGACAAAGATCAAACGGTCAATCAATGGTATGAAAATGCCTGCAATAAATACCGATTTTCAATAAATACTTTTTGGTTACATCAGGTCATCAGGTGGATGGCTTTCTCACTATCGAGAGAATAGTAGTACTGGAACAACTTTAATGTGGCCTGTTGTTCAACAAAGTATATCTCACCTGATGTACTGCTTGCAATTCAGAAAGGATTGTACGAGCTTGAAGAAAAGTCAAGGGAACGTGAACTAATTGGAACAATACCACCTTTCGACGCTAGAGTCTTTCGTGAGAAACCAAAGGCTCACTGGTGCCCTGATATAAAATTCGTAAAGGGCGCCGAAATTAGTATTGTAACAAAACTAGTCACTCGATCCCTCGTAGCAATTCTAAGAGCTTCTACTGTTATTAATGGGCATGTTAATCAAATTATAATCACTAAAAGCTGCAAGAGTTTGGAATTAGAAAAATAGCTGCGAAAAAAGAAGGGAAACAACAAGAATGACAAATTTCCGGTAAGCACTCTCCAGAAAGTCGACATCGAGCGCAATAACAAAGCAAGTCGAGTGAAGAAATGCTACTTGGGCCATAAATACTACTACAGTGTGCAAACATAATCATTCATACATAGCAATAAGGTACATCATAAATATACCCGCCATAAGTGCAAAAATTTCACGTAAAGATTGTGCTGTTGATGATTTCTCCAGAAGTTCAGGAATAACCGAAACGGTGGCTATATAGATGAACCCACCAGCTGAAAAAACACTGATACAGTAAAAAATTACGAACCTACACCCACAAGCTCACAGTCTATACACAGCTTATATACCGATATTTCCTATATCATTTATAATCCAAATCAGTCGTCAAGTAGCAACGGTTTCAAAAAGAATCAAGGCAATCAATGGCAAGATTAAACTATATGATTGATTGAATAGATATGGTATCAAAAGTGGCCGGACTCCAAAAAAAGTGACAGGAACTTGACCACTTCAAAAAAAGGCTCAGAGTGTGTTACGGTTGTGGTTCATCGAGTATCGGTTGTACACATATTTATAATTTTAACCTAACGATAATAGCAAGCTTCCGGGCTTCAGTGTGGATAGCTTCGGAGCAAACCATTAAAAACATATAACTCATCACTAGTTACACAGTAGTGAACATACCTGTGAAGGGAAGGATCCAGCTGCTAGCAGCTGCATCAGCAAGAGCTGTTGGATCGGCAACCCACAAGGCAAGAGCGCATCCAGAAAGAGCTCCTATCGCAGTCAAGAGTTGAATACCCATAGCCTAAAAAATTTTCCCCTTAAATTCCACAGATCTTATGCAAATATGACATATTTACATACTCGGTTGTACCTAAGTAATAAGAACTGAAAATGCTTTCATGGAGAAATCTTTGTTTTGCCAGCGATTGATTGAAACTGAATTTGCTACGACATAAACGAAGTTTACGAGTTTAACGAGACCGTCTTTATTCCTCTCATGGCTGTTCTTGTTCTCTCAATGGCTAACATTCCACCAAATTGTATCAGAACCATACAATTCCTATCTTAGTCTTCATCTGCGTACCTTTCCTTTCGTATATCCTGACTGTATCAGAATAGCAAAATCTCCAATCTCATGGGGCACTTCATGGACAAGAACAGTGACCATCGTTACTAAAAATCAACAAATTAAAAGCGACGACTCCTGATAGCATGCAAACCCCATAATCGTCCGAGTTACACTTGCTTAGATTACATGAGTTAAAGTCGCTCTATATCACGTTTCTAGACTTGTTCCCAAGGGGTGTGTCTGCCGAACAATGCTTTCCTATGAATTATGGTTGAAAAAGTAAATTGATTTCTTACCGACACCGACAGTGGTTCCTGCAATGAATGAGGCACCAATGGCAAGACCGTCAGTAAAGTTGTGGGCAAAATCAGCTACAAGGTTGAGGTACGCAGCTACCTTAATGTATACATATTATGAATCCTAACAACAAAATATGGACAAGTGCTATATAATACCTTTATTCTCTCTGGTTCTATCATCGAACATTCAGCTTCTTCTTCTTTTTTCTGCTTCTTCTTGGAGTCCTTTTTACTTGAGGTATCGGATTCACCCTCATCTGACTCAGCATCAGAAAGCTTGGCCTAAAATTTCAGTCCTCAACCTTTGAATGATTCATTCAATGCAATCCAATTGAATTTTCCAAGGATTTTTTAGTATTTCTTTTTATTGTTTTCAGCGATATTTCCGGATCTCAATCAGAGATATGTATCCCTCACGAATTTCGTCGTACATGCACAGAGCGCTATTTACATTAGTTTCGTAATATATGAGTTCATATAAGTAGAGGAAAGAACATCGCTAGGCACAGTGCCATGGCAACGCAATTGAGATTCGAGGATTAGTTTGTTATCGGGACTGCACTCGAAGAAAAAAATTAGGTGGGCAACTGAGGACACCTCCTTATCCAAGGTAGTGAAACTAGACAAATTCACAATCAAAAGAATCCGAAAAGAATCACACCTTTTCGGATTTTGGAGTGGAATGACCATGGGAATGTCCATGACCGTGACCATCCTCTCCACGGATGATTCGAACCACTTTTTCAACCAATAAGAATGCAATTATACCTTGAGTAAAATAATAAATTGAAAAGCATAGGAAAATTCACTCTCATTGCAAATTCAATAACCAGATGAACAAACCTGCAAGCACCCATCCACCTACGCTCATATCATGGGGTTCATGACTGTGACCTTCATGATGGGAATGTGAATGCGAATGTGAATGAGAACCAGCGCCGGCAGGTTGAGCATGAGGAATCAAATGTAAAAATGCATCTCCGAGCAAACCGCCTGAACCGAATGCAAGTAGAACCTTAAGCCAAGGTCCATTGGAAGGGGAGTTATCCTGAAAGCTTTGGTATAACTAGCGGACCATAAAAAAAAAGGCACAAAGTTAAAAACTGCGAGAACGTTGAGAAGGAAAAGTAGGGACAGACAGTATTACCTGAATAGGAATGAACAGCAGAATAAAGCACGGTGCCGCACTAATCAGCAATGTAGCTCCTATAGCATGCATCCAAAGATGTGGCCGAGTTTGAACGCTGTAGATTCATCATCTCATTCAAAAAATTGGATAGAATCTGTTTCAACCTACCGAGCTGAACCACGGGGAAGATCTTTGTGGGCGTGCCCTTTTTCATGATGAGAATGACTAAAAGGAAACAATTCAAGTAACTTGGTTGGTATGGGGATATTATAAGAAGCTAGGTGTCAGTCTGAAAGGCAGCCTCTTAAACGATGAACCATCTAAAAACTCGGTGTATTTCCTAATTGACTTCACCTATTTGAAACAATTCTTCTTATGAACGCTTTAATTACCACGCTACTTTATGTGGAGGTATCCTAAAGCGCTTTATATGAAACTCAGAACTTGATGTCATTTGATGACAAATAAAAAAGACAAAACTATTTTTCAGGACTCCAACTTTGGTAATAAAATGGCAAAAACAGAAACCTGTGAGTGTGAGCATCATGACTATGATCATGTGCACCATGAGAGTGGGGGCAACCGCCGCCACCTTCGTGGGAGTGCCCGTGAGAATCATGCGAGTGTCCATGAGATGCATGAGAGTGACCATGCTCCTCTTCTAACTCACGAGCTGCCTGCAATTTTCGCTTTGCCTTAAACATCATACAATATAATGGAATCTGGTTCTTATACAACGAAAATTCACACATAGCATTCAGGAGCACAAAGAAGGCACTCATAATTATTCGAGCTGATGGGGTTCAACTATATATGACGTAAATAGTAAATAGGACTATGGTTGTAAATGTTTGCATGAGTCATTACTGGTGTAAACTTCCTGAGAATCAGCGAACAATGTGGAACTAAATAGATAACAGGGCACCTGTTAGTACAAGATACCAAATAAACCACTTTTCGCCTTTAAATGCCTAAGCCTGAATTTGTCCTTGCATTTCTTCCCAAGTTCCCCGTTTCCTTTCAAAAATACGGGAAGCCTACTATAAATCTGCATTTCTCACGAAAAGATGTGCGCCTACACAGTCACAAAATCTTATCAAAAGCGAAAACGATAACTGCCAATACCGCGGAGTATCGTCGATTTTATGTTCACTGCGTAATCTTGATGTGGATTCTCTCCTACTTTTCCTTCCCGTTTTCTTTTCCGAGGGCTTGTAAATGGCGAATAGCTTGTATTTATCGAAAGAAAGACTAAAAGCAGTGCGAAGACAAGCTATAAAAGGACATCAAACCTTTTCGTTAACTTCTTTGGAGTATTTCAAATGTGCAGGCTCATGCGAGTGTGCGTGCTCATGCGAGTGAGTGTGAGCAGATGATAAGACCGTGCCAACTACTAGTAACACTATCATCACTGCCGCCTTCCCCATGGTTAAACCTGCAAAAGGACAGAAGATTAACAATTTATAAAGCGGAAGGTGGTAGGAGTGCGAACATCTAGGGAGAATAGCGGTCCACGCAAAAAAAGAAAACTCCATTAACGAAACTAATTGGTATAGCAAATGAACAAAGAGAAACACTGAGAGTTTTGAAATTTGGTCTAATTAGTTGACCTTACAGCATTTTTCTCGGAACAGAAAAGTCAGAGAATCGTGGATACGGTGATTCTCCGACTCCGCTAATCGATACGTGTCTACAAATAAAGACAGGTGACACATTCTGGCGGACAAAAGCGTTTCTGTCGGCATACGAACACTTAACGGGCTGGATCGGGGAGAAAGACAGTTTTATTCAGTACTCGATTCATACATTAAAAACTGCCATAGTCTTCCACCCACAGTGTTTTTCTTACGCACATCTCCTCTAAAGTTAGGGAACCATTCATAATTATGAAAGGTTGACCCAAAAAACAAGAACGAGAGGCGATTTCAGCAGTTTTTCCTGACTATGCAATGACGTCCCATGTAACCGTGGGCGGTATCAAAAAATTCTGGATGCGAGACGCCTGCGAGATGAGAATTTGCATCATGAAGAATACGAATTACGAAGGAAAGCTGGAAAAATAATGGCGGTTCGTATTCACAAAAACGACCATTCATTTCCAACCCTTATGCTTTACGATGATTCAGAATCCTTTTCTCTGAAAAAAAAAAAACTCGGTAGCACCGTAAGACGTAATCTGAAAATCGAACTGAAAACGTCAGTCTTCGATCTGATGAACCTAGCGATATACCTTTCACTCAAAAGTAGTTATAGACAACGCTAATCCAACACTAATTCTTAGCATGTTGCTTACTGCAAATTTAGAAACGAAATATCCCATCAATGAAGCGGTTTGGACCGAAAATTTGACCTCAATTTCGGATCAAATTTCCTGCCAAAGTGAAATTCATCTATCCACGATTGCATACGATTTCCTGGAGTTTAATAAAACTACTACAGCACCAAGACCCGAATAACTCAAGCCCAATAGTTGCCATAAGCTAGCACATACAATTGTGAGTCCGAAAAAGTAGCCAAGGTTAGTAATTGTCAAGGTGAAAGGTGGGGTATGTAAAGTAGATGGCGCCTGCTGCGCCAAACATCGACCGATTGGTGGGCGGGACAGCCACTTGTATGGGATTACGTCAGCTATTCATGGAGATTTGCAAATAAAAACATAAACACATACTTTACATACATACACACACTTGCATACACATATACGTATACACACAGGCGGACCCACTAAGCCTCTCCATACCCTTTTTAACTGGTTACCCTACTCTCGGAGCGAATATACGTTGCTATGGAAATAATTGATCCAACGGATTTGTTTGTTTTTGCATTTCCGGTTATTTTTCGAACTTAAATGGGAGAATACAGAGGAAACGGGGATACACATCGACGAAACCTTTTGCAGTCCGGAGACGATCGTACCCTAGCGCGCATTAACATTAGAGCAGACTTGGTTTGGGCATGAATTTCTAATGAGTAACGAATCTTTTTTTTCTCTTGAAACTTTTCTGAAAGGACAAAACTACCGCAACTCATCGCAACTAAACAACTTCTCCATCAGCTTTTGAAGCGACCTTACCTAATATTTTACGCAAAGTAAAAAAACAAAAAGTTTGCAGCTCCCTGAAATGCGCTCCCGTATTCGACCTCCATTCGGAATCGTAGTGGCGTTTGAGTGCATAAGTGGTTTCTACAATGACTAGCGGTAAGCAACCGATATTCAAACCCAGACGAGTCCTCCTTCCTCCTTCCAGACGAGTCTGGTAGCAAACAATGGCACACGGATAGATGGATGTCTTGATTGGCCTGGGCGAGTATCGATCCGTGATTCAATCCAGCGACTATGCGTGTCCAGTAATACGTTCGAGCTTCGCATGGCGAACTGCGACGAGAAGAAATACTTAAACAACAGAGAACGGCTTACACATTAGACATAAGAGTGCGAATAGGTAATTACTGCAATGCCATTAGAGATTGAGGGGAGGGAAGCGTAGTATTGTAGTGAAAGTGTTAAAGCTTGCAGTGTAAGAGTGAAAGAGTGCAGTTCTCGGAAAGCCTACGTACGGCTGATATTCTTGCAAACTCTTTAAAACCATGACATCATTTCACTATTACACCACTGTCCAGTTCTGAGGAGGAAGAGCGAAAGGGGCTGGGGAGGAGTGTGTGTGTTCATAGTGATAGCGAAATCCTGCACTGTCTGAATTTGAATTTTCCTGGATTCATAAACTTCTTGAAAAGCATTAACCTTAAAGCAAAGACAGATTTGAGCAACCAACTTAGCTAAAATTAAAAAAAAANNAAAAAAAAATACAAACGATTGAATTAGTCTTCGAATTAGTCTGCAGTACGATAGTATTTACCCGATTTTCGAGCACAAAAGTAGATTCGATAACTTCGTTCAGTTTTAACTGTGGTGTTCTGACAAGTGGAGCACTCCTTCCACACACATACACACATGCGGGGATCAAATCTCGAACGGAACGCGCCCAGGTTATTCAAGCCTCCCACCCCTCCGAGGTCGGTTAATCAGTATCCGACTCGTCTGGGAGTACCAAAGCATTGACTTGTAAATCACCTGGTTGCCGCAAGCTATCAAATGGAACACATACACAAAAAATGCCATTGTGATTCTGGCTGGAAGACGAACGTGGAGCGCGTTCCAAAGCAGGATTGATTAATGCCAAAGATTTATCCTTTATTCCTTTTATAATTCCAAAAGGTCATCCGCAAATGATAAAGCTCTAAAAAAGTTTCACCTGTGAGAGGTCGGAGATAACCCTTTCAAAGCACCAAGGTAAAAATAAGTGGAATAATAACGTCAGAAAAAGACAACACTCGAACGCTCTAGTCAAGTTGGGAGCAGATCCAACGGAGGGACTGTCTAAGGCTGAGAATTGAACTCTTCCGTTCTTTATCTGATCCTTTTTTGGTCGAATGTACATAGTAGTATGAAGCTGAGCAATCGGTTAAGATGAAAGTACCGCTTTTCGAAACCCATTACCAACCATACCATTTCAAAGTCAACCTCAGGCTGCTGAAGGCTCCACGAAACTAAACGCCGCTCTGATAATCAGATCACTCTAAGCGACCGACAACTAAGGCATTCTCCAAGACGAGACCCAAAGAAGTATTTGGTACGCACCATCCACACAATTGCTTTCATCATCCATTTTGGGAACAGGAATTACTGGTTGTGTTCGCAGCCGCCGATTTCACAACTATCTCAGTTCACAACATCAACTCTTTGTAGAAAAAAAAATCATGTCGTTCAGTGAATGGCATGGAAAACTTTAGGAAAGAAAGAGTCAGTAACCTCAACAGTCCCTTTTACAAGTAAAACATTATTCACAAAAGTTTATTCACAGCACTATTAGTGACAAGTTCATTAGGAGACCAGTTTCATGCACGAGAGTGGAAAACAATATTAGTACAGAACTGTGTTCAGTTTCCTCCGCGAAGACGCAAGACAAGATGAAGAGTGGACTCTTTCTGGATGTTGTAATCGGACAAAGTGCGACCATCCTCAAGCTGTTTTCCTAAAAATATATTATATAGGAATTGGAAATTAATAATGGCTTTGTGGTACAATCGAGTAGCAATACAAACCAGCAAAGATCAGTCGCTGCTGGTCCGGAGGAATTCCTTCCTTATCCTGGATCTTGGCCTTCACGTTTTCGATGGTATCAGAAGCCTCAACTTCGAGGGTGATGGTCTTTCCAGTAAGGGTCTTAACAAAGATTTGCATTCCACCACGAAGTCGGAGAACCAAGTGAAGGGTTGATTCCTTCTGGATGTTGTAATCCGAAAGAGTACGTCCGTCCTCAAGTTGCTTTCCTGAAACAATCGCGCGATACCACTGAAAATAACCAATGCGCACGTCTACTTTTTTTCGAAAGAGAACTTACCGGCGAAGATCAAACGCTGCTGATCTGGAGGAATGCCTTCTTTGTCCTGAATCTTAGCCTTCACATTTTCAATGGTATCAGAAGCTTCAACTTCGAGGGTGATGGTCTTTCCAGTAAGGGTCTTGACAAAGATTTGCATTCCACCACGAAGTCGGAGAACCAGGTGAAGGGTGGACTCTTTCTGGATGTTGTAGTCGGACAAAGTGCGTCCATCCTCGAGTTGCTTTCCTGGAACCGTGAAACTAACGCCAATGCCAATAGACTATTCCACTCATTTTATACGATGAAAGACACACCTGCGAAGATCAATCGTTGCTGATCTGGGGGAATTCCTTCTTTATCCTGAATCTTGGCCTTGACGTTTTCGATGGTATCGGATGCCTCGACTTCCAGGGTAATTGTCTTTCCTGTGAGGGTCTTGACGAAGATTTGCATTCCACCACGAAGACGGAGGACCAAGTGGAGGGTGGATTCCTTTTGAATGTTGTAGTCAGACAAAGTACGTCCATCCTCGAGTTGCTTTCCTAAAACAAATGTGGTACTAGTAACAGTGATTTAAATGAATATACATCTACATTTTAGGAATGTAACATACCAGCAAAGATCAGTCGTTGTTGGTCCGGTGGGATTCCTTCTTTATCCTGAATCTTGGCCTTGACGTTTTCGATGGTATCAGATGCCTCGACTTCGAGGGTGATTGTCTTTCCAGTAAGAGTCTTGACGAAGATTTGCATTCCACCACGAAGACGGAGAACCAAGTGGAGTGTGGATTCTTTCTGAATGTTGTAGTCAGAAAGTGTGCGTCCGTCCTCAAGTTGTTTTCCTGAAATGCACACAGAATAATCATACTTCCTTAAAAATGAGATCCGCTTTTAAATTGCAACATACCTGCGAAGATCAAGCGCTGCTGGTCTGGGGGAATTCCCTCCTTGTCCTGAATTTTAGCCTTGACGTTCTCAATGGTGTCCGAAGCTTCGACTTCAAGGGTGATTGTCTTTCCAGTAAGGGTCTTAACGAAGATCTGCATTCCACCACGGAGTCGGAGGACCAAGTGCAGAGTGGATTCCTTCTGAATGTTGTAGTCGGACAAGGTGCGTCCATCCTCGAGTTGCTTTCCTAAACCAGTCTTATTCTCATGACCGTAATTGTAGAAGAATTTTAGATTTTCGAAATGCAACATACCTGCGAAGATCAATCGCTGCTGGTCTGGGGGAATTCCCTCCTTGTCCTGGATCTTGGCCTTCACGTTTTCAATAGTATCCGAGGCTTCGACCTCGAGAGTGATGGTCTTTCCTGTGAGGGTTTTGACAAAGATCTGCATTCCACCACGAAGTCGAAGGACCAAGTGAAGTGTGGACTCTTTCTGGATGTTGTAGTCGGACAAGGTACGTCCATCCTCGAGTTGCTTTCCTAAATATCCAATACTAGTAACATTATTGCGATGGGCTTTCAAATTTCAACAACACAACATACCAGCGAAGATCAATCGCTGCTGATCTGGGGGAATCCCTTCTTTGTCCTGGATCTTGGCCTTGACATTTTCAATGGTATCTGAGGCTTCGACTTCAAGAGTAATAGTCTTTCCAGTAAGAGTCTTGACAAAGATCTGCATTCCACCACGAAGTCGGAGAACCAAGTGGAGGGTGGATTCCTTCTGGATATTGTAGTCAGATAGGGTACGTCCATCCTCGAGTTGCTTTCCTAAATTTATAATATGTAAGTGGAAACTAAACAGAATCGCCACCAGTATTACCATGTTAATTGGTTTAACAAAACGTACCTGCGAAGATCAGTCGTTGCTGATCTGGGGGAATTCCCTCCTTGTCTTGAATCTTGGCTTTAACATTTTCAATAGTGTCCGAAGCTTCGACTTCAAGCGTAATAGTCTTTCCTGTTAGAGTTTTGACGAAAATCTGCATAGTGCTGAAACAGATATGAATCATACGCGTCCTACGCGAACGAAAGGTTCAAACTCGACGATTGAGTCATACACGTTGGGAAACCAACACGTGAGAAAATGACGACGATAAAAGCAGGAAAAATGACGGAACTACATAGTGGGGACAAGAGAACAAGTAGGAAACTTTCGAAAATGAGTCACAATCAACGAAGAGCAGATGGGAAGCCACCAACCAGCGACCGCCTCACTGGAAACAATGCTCCTGATGGGCGGCCCGCCGCCCAACCTTTGATCGATAGGCGCCGCCCCCGATCAATACGGGCCTTCACTGCGCCTCGTCACCAAAACACCTCGTCCTCCCAGACTTTTAGTGCACCCATTGATCAATGACGTCGTGACATGAGATAGGGAAAGGTAACTTGTTGAGGACATCACTGATCATTTACTGGTTGAAATCATGCAATAACAGTAGAGAAGAGCAATCGAAGAGGATAATTCTGTTGCTAAACAGTTGGGAAATGGGAGCGAAGGAACCTGTTTTTACGGAGTGTCTTCCACAAACGTGACCAGTTACAGCCCGATGAATAGATAACATCTAGGATTCCATTGGTGGTGTCTATTGTTAGGAAAAACATTGAAAAGAATTTTTTCCAAATCTGAGGAAATTTGTGAAGAAAAAACAGATGAAAAAGAAGAATTTAGCACTTTCTGGTCGAAGAGAAGTCTAAGACGACTAAAAAAGTGCACAAAAGTTGTGAAACTCGGCTCCTTAAACAGATTAAGGCAACTGTTATTTCTTAGATTGAGTTTCAACGATAAATAAGAGTAAGGATGACTTGTATGACTGAAGCAGTATAAAGCATGTAGTTGAGAGCGAAACTTGTTTAGGAACTAGAACGAGAACTGATGAACCTTCCGCCACGAACCAGCCAGAATCTATGCGTTATCGAGCTGTCGCTCCTCCTATTTATACCGCCAGAGCGCGGAACGTTCTCGGCG